TCATTTCTGTCCTCTGACCTGTATTTCTACCTCTAATGCCTCTGACTGTGTGCTGCTTCTCTCTCTCTCTCTTTCTGGTAACTGTGTGAAGTCTTGCCAGGTTATTGGATTTACAAGTCTATGAATGTCACTCTGATGTGCAATAACTGGGGCTGCTCTCTGTTACACCCTGTTGTATTTAGTTAGTGTTTATTTGCATGCATATGCCACACTTCTTGCCATATTTTATCAGGTCTCTGCACCCGCCCTCAGTTCACTGTGTAAATGATTGGACTAACACTGTGGGCGGTTCCAGTGTCCTGTAGTTACTCTCCTCTTGAGTTTGAGGCAACCAGCCTCAGGTCATTTGGTTTTTGGTTTTCTTCCACCTTCAAGCTCTCAGATCTCCCATGCTGTGCCATGTTTTTTCCACATCTTTGTTTCTTAAATTGGGTCTGTATCACCTCACTTCATCCCACTCTCTGTCACTATTGGTTTTTCCACAAATGCAAAGAACTCCTGAAATTTATAGACATCTTTGTGTCAATGCAGACAATTTTTAAAGATGTTTACCAAGATTTTTTTTTTCTGCCAGCCCCCACAGTAAAAGTCTTTGGGCAAATCGTGGTGACCTGATGTGTAAATGCAGCAGGAAATTTTCAGGAAAATTCCTAGCAAGAGAGCACACGATCACATTTGTATCACAATGTGTGCGATTGGTGGGTTACCAGTGCCATTTTTGCATATTTTAAATCTGCAGCATACTCGTTTGTTGATACTGTTAAGATGTCCGATTACGAGCATTGATATAAAGGGAAAAATAATCAGACTGCTTTGCTGCCATTTTTTTAAAACATTTTTTACGTCATGTCTTGCCATTTGAATATTAAGTTATTAAAATTAGTTCCACTTTAATCAACTTGAATTGAAAACTGGGAAACAAAGAAGCCCATCTGAGATATGAGTACTTGTACTTAACCCATACACAAACCTTTGTGCCAATTTGTATAAAGTCAAAATTTCTGGGCACAGTTTTATTTTGCTTTTAATTAAGTAGATTTTGATTCATGGGATATCTACAAGCAAATTTCTGCATACTGTCTAACTTGCAAAGAAAAACAAAAAACATAACTATCCAGATAATCATACATTGTACATGGTCTTAGGTCACTTTTTGTCAAATTAGAACTCTTCTAAAAAGCTATTGTATTAAAACAAAGTAGACTAAACCCTTTAACTCCTACCAGCTGAAAAGGGCAGCTAACAGACTTCAGTTCTCGAGGGGATGGAGTGTAATTACAGTAAATCCAGCCAGCATGCAGAAAAATAAATCACTTACAAATCCTGTTTTCCTCGTAATTCAAATGTCAAGCAAATAAAGTGAGTCTGACTAAGGAGATTATCATCAGTCATGTTTATTTGAACATGCTGCATGTATCCTCACTCATCACATACATACAATGATGCCTCTTACCTGTTAAAGTGTTTTATGTTGTTGCTGCCTGCCAATAGTGTTAAATTCTTTCATCACACTGTATATTATCTGCTGTGTCTTGTTTTCCTTTTTGTTTCTGTACCATGTCCCAACGTGCCAACCAAGAATGCTGTCTCTTTTACCTCCACTATATGTTTAACCATTTAGATGTGTAATTACACGCTATGCAGTAGGCCTGCGTCATAGCCGCGGGTTAAATTTACTCCTATTTTCTTAAAAGAGAGTAAGCCACATCCTCTAACAAGCAAAAGCGTCAAAGGATTAAAAAGTCTTTTAAGTGTTCAAATATCAAAATTAATATTAACGACCACCACTTAATTTAGTTGAATAATCTGTTTCTATCGGCAAAAATTACAACATTGTATTCCCCAAAATACTCGAATGATATCAAGCTGTAAGTACTGTCTCTTTTAATTAATTGATTGTTGATATATGAATAATCTATTTGTGTTACTTTGCTCAAGCTAATTTACCATTAGCTCTAGCATTAGCCTACTAGTAAACTAGCTAACTGAGGGTAAGGTTATGCGAGTAGCACAGCAAAATGTTTATCTAACAAGGTTTTTTTAAACTCTCGGTCAGGATAAAAATTGAAGTAAGGGTGGAACATATTCTGACAGTATTTGAATAGTTTTATTTAACTAAAATATGACAGAGCACAAGCATATAACATGCTCTATTTTACAGGTATGGAAAACCTGCCATAGCTGCATTTTTGGCAAGCCGGGATGAAATGAACTCATGGGTTACTGTTTGTAAGTCACTGAATGAGAGGATAGGTTTTAGCTTGGAAATTGTACGGAGCTGAAAGAAACTGGATTTGACAGCTGTATTTACCTGCCAATCAAATGTAAAGCCTGAGTCGAAGATAAAGCCAAGGTTCCTGGCGTGGGGCCTAATGTGGCTGTATAAGTGACCTAAGCTGTTGGAGACCTGTTTGATGATGTCAGGGGGGGCAAAAAGAACAGCTTCAGTTTTTGACTCATTTATTTGTAGGAAGTTATGGGCCATCCAGTGTTTTATGTCTTCAAGGCATTGTGTAAGAGAGGTGAGTTCTGCGAGATTGTTTGGTTTGACCGGTAGATAAAGCTGAGTGTCATCTGCGTAGAAGTGGTATGAGAGGTTGTGCGTCTGGATAATTTGACCCAATGTTTGCTAATAAGTGCTGGGCAGGTTGTCTGCAGTTCATTTTTAGACTTGAAAATTAAAACAGCTGCACAAAAATATCAAATGAAGAGTGTTACCAGTGAGCGATACAATAATAATTTTCCAAAAGATGTAAGACACTGAAAGGAACTCCAATTTAAAAAGATGAAAAGTTCATCTTCAGTCACATATCTAAAAATACTCACAGATTAATAAAAAGTTTTGCTTTTATACACTTCTATACCACAAGCTATATTATACTTATTGTATGTATTGGACAGGTGCATGTGTTTTGCCAACTCTCTTCCAACATCTGGGCTGCAGCCGGAGCTGTGAGCACTTCCTCAAACTCTTTCTCTTCACAACCTCCTCCTATACAGCCCTGCTGACAGACTGCTTTTGTCAATATGTCTAAGGAAAGTGTCCACATTTATCAGTCTTTTCATGTTTATGTCATTTATGTAAAGTCTTTGTGGAATATCCAGCCCTTAAAAGTTGAAATATTAATCTTAATTCAGTGGAGGAAACGTTTAAAATGTTGGTTACATCTTCAGCCTTATTGCATGACTCAACTCGCTTCAGTTGCTGTCACCAATACCAACAACTGAAGCAATTCAGGAAGCAACAGTTGTCTTTTATTAATGTCATTCCTTCAGGCCCAAACCACTCTCAATTTACCAAAGCATAAACTTCAAACACAAACCACAGACTTACATAACTTTTAATCTTGTTTTTTCTTGCACTTTATATTTCACAGCAATCTATAAATGTGATGTCAGAGTTCCTTGTTGAATCTGTTTCATATGCAAACAGTCCAAACACAACTTCTTCTTTTAAAGGTCATGGTTTTCTGAAATTATGAGTTGGGAGGCCAAACTGTTTCATGCACCTCTCTGTTTCTCAATGAGCGATCTCCTTTTTTCTCTTGGTTCACAGAGTGTAAAGAGATCTACCACCCCCCTGTTCACCAAGCCCCATCCCCTGCTACCCCCCATTCAGCCCTCCTCCTCCCCCTGTATCCACATCCTCCAGCCTGCTTTCCCAGACAGCTTGTTAACAAGTCTACCGCTCTCTGAGCTTCTGCCAGTGAGGAAATACTAAACAGATTATTTCTTCGAGTCTACTTAACATCACTCATGTCTCTGCTTTGCAGTGTGCTCGCTGTGGTTCGCTTTAGTGTCTCTCATTAAGAAAATTACTTTCTCTTAGCTCTAGAGTACCCTAATCTGCCCCTTTTTCTATTTACACTTTACTAAAACCTGTAACTGAATTCCAGGAGGAGTTATGGGGCTCTTCAGGAAAACAGTAAATATCACTTGGTTGCTAAATAACCTTTGGGCCTTTCTAGTTTGCATAACAAAATTAGTCTCAGTCGTTCATATACATGTGAGAATGCCTTAATCTGAAAGTAATGTGACTGTCAGGCTTCGTTCAAGGTCAAAAAAGCTTCAATAGCTGTTCTCAAACCGAAACAACAAGACTTTAAAATTAACAGATTTTTATAGAACTCGCTCTAATTATGTTTTTTCTTAAGAGCCATATTTCAGAGAAAAAGTCTGGACTCTTGTAAAATAGACAACTCCATAAAATCCATTTAGATGCCAAATAAGGAGCCACAATTTAAACTACAGATTACAGATTGAAAAAATAATCTTACACTACAGTCTTTTTATACCTTGAAATAATGGTAAAGATGCTAGATCTGTTTATAACTGAACATGTGTGATCATAGCCTACACTTTAACTACTGTCCTATAAGAAAACATCAGGTGGAGAGTCCTTGACATAAAATCTGTTTCAGTTAGTAAACAGTGCCATCTTGTGGAAATTGAGAGACTTTCACTTTTTACTTGTGTAAATGTTTTTCCCTGCAACTGTTTGTCTTTACTGGTTTGTTATTCTATTCTGTTGAAGTGTTACATTTCACTTTTGAGAAACAAAAACATCATCAGCTAAAGAAAGAAGCTAAAGCTTCCCAAAGCAATGGATCTGATATATTATATACAGACAGGAAGTATGAAAAAATTACATATTGATTATTTACTCTGTAGAATCAGGTCACAATGTGACATGATAAAATAATTTCACTTAAAATGTGTACAATGGGACTGAAATACAAAGGTATTTCAAGATATATTTTTTTTAAAAGGAAAACTATTAAATGTATTTTTTCAGATTTTTCCCCTTCAATTTTGGACATCACCATCCCCCCCCCCCCCCCCCCCGCACACACACAGTTTTTTTTACATTTTATTTTTTCATCAATTAATTTGTTCCATAACTAAAAAGTAAATAGAAATTGTGGTATTTTAACAACTCAGCCCGATTGAAGTCATGGCTCCACCTCCACCATGGGCCCCATGTGACTTGGTGTCAGGGTGAGGCTCTGTGTGCACTTGTTTCGGAGGGTTCAACAGCTACACAAGACCAGGAGGCCAAGGCACGAGTGGAGGTACAGGTGCCACAAAGTCATGGACTACCAACAGAAGCTCGCTGAAAAACTCTCCATCCTCAATGAGAGGGGGAACGGGGTGCTCATACGCATGAACTACATTAAGAAGGTGAGGGAGAAAATTGTGTTAACAGAAACTATAAATAAGGAACTTGGCCGTCATCTCATACGCTTGGGAAATTGTCTCAAAATGTCTTGAACCTAAATACACTTATTCCACTTTATAAAGATACATTTAAGCATTTTAAAAATGTATACTGGGTTATTACGTTCTCTAAAGTAAAGTAATACTGAACTATATTTAAAATGTTCGGCAATCATTTCTATTTTAAGATTCCGAAAGCTTCTTTTAAAGGAAAGAAGAGATCGAATGTCTTATTATTATTATTGAATGTCTAATTCAATAAATAATTAATTTAATTAGCCAAGCGTGTCAAAATACTTGACCTTTAATGCAATACAGTATAACGTACACTATAGAGTCTTATACTGCAGAATACAAAGGACCAATAATAAACTAGTAATACTGGCTATTAAATCAAGAGACTCTCCAGGAGCTATTACAAACTGCAGAGATTGAATAATGATAGATAAAACTGTGTTTTGTTTACAAAGTTTGTGTTAGTGTACACAGGCCTTAGCACAGTCTGCAGCACTGTCCTCCAGCTGCAACAAAGCTTCTTTTACCAAAGAGGAAGTGCAAACAGGAAGTAAGTCTGAGCTGTCAGTCAACTCAAATTTCCGTTATTCTAAACAGAATGTTTTTAGACTCACGCATGAAGAATCGAAACAAACAGAGATGGGCACTGTAATGACCTGACAGGTGGGGGGGTATGATTTATGTTTGATTTGACAACTCACACATTTTTGGATGTGCCATGCAAGACGTGACACATTCTTCATAAAAAAGTTAGTTGTATTTAACCACCTGTTCATTATTTACCTACTTATTGTTTTCAGTGGACACTTCAAAGGACCTCCCTTCACTGATACTTCTAACAGTCTATCATCCTAACTTTGTCTCACTTCTTCAGTTTCCAGTTTACTCACACCGTGCAGTATTTTAGAGACAATGCATATTTACATCACATACTGTATTCAGACTCAAATAATATCTTTATTCCACAACCGTTATAAAATCATCACCATGCACTGCACCTTCCAGTCATGTTTTTTTTTTTCTTGTGTTGTTGTTTTGTTTGTCTATTCTTTATTTACACAACTGTCTTAGCACCTGGTCTGTGAAAAATGTCATTTTGATCTCTCCTGTATCTCTTGTATACCTTGAATGAAGATAAATGACAATGTAAAGTTGAACATCACAAATACATTAATGAAGAAAATAAAGAGAGAAAGACGGCGACCACACAACTCTCATGCTGACTCTAAAGCGATGGTGCAAAATCTACTTTTGAGATACATATGTTGAATACATATGCTTTGTTCATATGTGGACATGTTTATGAACTTATTTTATGTAGGAGAAGTAAATATCCTTTATGAAAACCCTGCCCAGTGAAGATTTGTGCATCTGTGCATGGCTACATTTTTTATTTATGCAGTCAGATTTGACAGTTAGGAGCTGCAGCACAGTTTTCTGCTGTCAGCCTGTAAACTGCCCCGCAGGAGCTTCTCCGTGTTAACTATCCTGCTCAAGGTCACCCTGAGGGTGGGTGTTGAGGGAGCTGGAGAAAACATTAATACTCACTCTGCCCACAATTTCCCCAGCTACTCTGAGGACAGAATGACTTTCTTCAGACAGGCTTGTTTTCTCACCATGGGCTGGATGCCACTCAGAATCTCAAAGAAAAAAAAATGACAATTAAATCCCATCAAGACAACCCACAGAGCATGCTGTCAGCTTAAAATGTATTAAATATCATGGATTAAGCTGCCTAAACTGACAAAATCTCATCTTCACAGCTTTATAATTTCCTACCTTGTGTTACAGACCTGTGCAGACCCCAAGACGCGTCCCCCCCTCCTCACAGAGAAAGCCACAGAGCCGGCCATTAAATACATCAACAAGAAATTCCCCAACATTGACTTCAGAGGAAACATCGTGAGTATAAGCAATCAAAAAAGGTCCTTTATACACAACAAAAACTGTTATATTGCAGGATATTTGCTGTATGATAAAGGATCTGTTATTGGGCCTAAAATGATCTTTTATTTTATTATTTTGATATTTTCCTATGACTGACGGTTTTATCAAGTAGCAGGTGAAGCTAATAAACTTCCCCACAAGGACAATAATTCAGGGGATATTCGACCTTTCACACAGTGTGACACATAACTTGAGTAGAAATGAAAAGTCTTCTTGATTGTTTTCTTGCAGCAAAATCTGACCAGCATACAGCGACAGAAATCAGAAGTGTTGGCCGCCACATCGAGCTACTACGACTCTTTCTTGGATGTCATCGAGTTCAGGGTGATTGTTTCTCTCAGCTCTTTATTTATTTCTCCTCAAGTTCAATATTCAAGATTCACATTTTGACACTGCATTACAAAAGGTTCAAAATCAATGCCATAGAGAAAGATGCAGAAGTAATAAATAACAAATACACATTTACGATTAAAGAAGAATACAAAAGAATGAAAAAATTGTTTTTCTTCCAACATTAAACAACAAATCTGATATTAGCGGACTGTGATGATGTTTGCGATTCTCCCTCACTGTCTGTCTTTATGTTTCCTTCTGCACTGGTATTATTTTAGGCGTTTTCATTTACTGAGGCCATTTACATATAGAGTGGTTTATCCTGATATAGAGAGAAATAATCTACTTTACTTCTTCTGGATTTTTTTCACTGTGGTTTGATGCAGTTTGTTGCCTCTCCCTTCACTTTTGCATATTTTCTGTGATGGAGTTCTTAACAAGGCCGGGATTCATCTGTATTTGTAAAATTGAAAAGACCTCAATCCTGATGGGATATAAATATGCAAATGCACAAAGATTCTAAAGCTACAGGAAGAGATGAAAATTAGGAAAATTATGATGATGATGATGTTGGTGATGAACGACATTTAGGGATAAACATAATTTCATGTATTTTGATTTGGTCTTTGTCTGTTTTCTTATCTAGTTCTTTGTTTCTCCTTCATTCAGGATCACGTTTATGAGTTGCTGAACACGATAGACGCCTGCCAGTGTTTCTTTGATATTGTGAGTATTAACTGTGATGTAGCAGTCAAACATACACAACATCTGTGCCTGTTTGTTCAAAACTAAACTGATTGGAATAGAGCTACAGCTATCAGATAGTATCCAGTCTTGAATCAGGTTTTTTGAAAAAAAAAGAAAGTAAAAAGTAAAAAAAAAACCAACAACTTTAGTTTGTGTTGTTCATGACGTTAGAGAAGGATTGGGATCACTTTAATAAAATAAAAAAAATCAGGATTTTCTTGATCATATCAGAGGTTAGTCTTCACAATTTATTATTTATTATTACACAGAATACTGTTATATCAAAGAGATTGTTTGTGTGTATTTTGGCAGAGCACTTTCTGTATTTTCTTTTAGTCTAATAATTCAGTTTTAATCCTAAAAGCCTAACCAGGGATGGGGGTTGCAAATTAGCCAAGGCTAGAAACCTTTTTGCATGGCATCTACTTTGTACTTAACATATGAAGCAATGTTAACTGCATGTGTCCCTGTTAAATAAACGAATAATAACTTGGATTTGGTAATACTTAAAAGTCTGAATCTGGATCAGGTTGATCCTATCCAGTTTTACCTTTAACAAAAAGAGGAGAAGAGCAAAAGTGAGCTGCATTACAAATAAGTGGATTCCCAAATCTAGATCATTCTCATCCAGTTTAAAGCATCTCACAAATATAACTGTAGATCCTTTTGAGGCCATATAGAGAGAGTCTTTACAGTCTTTGGATGATTATTATTGCAGTCATTATTACATACATGTTGCATCCTTTGAGAGCCTTTAAATGATTTACACAATAATTTATTCTCATACAAATAATATTAAAGTGTTATTTTACCTTAAATCTACCATTTTCTGTGTAAGCCTGTGTGCTTAAAGGCTAGCATGCTTGTTGAGGGAAAATAAGAGCTGTGAAGAATTTCAACTAAGACAGAGTTAAACAAGTTAATGGATTCCAGTGGAGACAGGTTTACAGGTGCGGGGAAAGATAGAAAAATGAAACTGTTACAATCACTCTCTTAATTTTTTTTTCTCCAGAAAATTAGTATCAATGCACTTCAAACATGCATGTTAAACTATAGTTCACTTTTAAAAAGGAACCTACAACTTTCAATCAGCATCTTAACAAGCCTGCAGGGTGTGTGTGCTTCATATAAATACACCTAAGCAGACCATTATAGATGTGTATGCTGGCACATGCTACAGTATAGACATACAAATGTGTGGGGTTTTTTCCAACCCAAATACCCTTCTTGAAAAATATCAAAAACGGATTATTTTAAACTAAAACAGATAGAGAACAAATGGATCCATTCCTTCAATAATCGTGTCTTTCTTTTATATCCATAAATGCTCAAATATCTTCAGTATCTGTGTCAGACTGAGATAATTTCCGAGTGCCATTACAGTAAATCTAGAGACACTCACTCCACTTCAATTTTCTTTTCAGTTGATCAACTTTGACTTCACCAAGAACTACTTGGATCTGATCACCACCTACACGTCTGTCATCATCACGCTCTCTCGCATCGATGATAAGAAGGCGCTGGTGGGCATGTTTAACTGTGCCCATGAAATGACCAATGGGAGCAGGTTAGAAAACATGAAACTGTTGTATGGATGCTGAGGTGATGTCATAGACGGAGGACAATTGTATTTAGTAGTTGGATGTGCTAATCAATAACAGGGTTGTATAAACGTCTGTATTTGCTGAGTGCAGATACAACAACTTCATGTAGGTCCTGTAATCAAATCAAGTCTGAGACATTCCATCTTATTAGCCTAATAACTGGTTAGTATTTTAATTAACACAGACATCAGCTGCTCAGCACTAACCTTTTCAGAGTCCTAAGTGGCATTCTGACATATTGAGTCCTCCTGCTTTGCATGATATCTATTTATACAATGCAAATAATGCAGTATACTTATCTCCATTGAGACTTGAGCTAGGAGCACAAACGCATGCATTTTAATGTCACATTTGAATCGCACACACCGCTAGCCCCTTGAGAGGAAGTGGTCGCAGCAATTCAGTCGCCCAGTAGTGTATTTTATTTATAGAAACCATAACCATTACAGTCTTAAAAAAACCTGCTAAATAATCCAAGACATAACAACATGCATTGATTAATTGTGTGCTGTAATGATTCCTGCAGCGACCCCTCCTACCCACGGCTCGGCCAGATGTTTGTGGAGTACGAGCATCCATTGAAGAAGCTCACTGAGGAGTTTGGTCCTCACACTCGGGTAAGCTCTGTGTGACAAAATCACATTACCAGTCAAGATGTTACTTAATTTATAATGTGAACGATGTCCCAATAGAGACGTGGTGTTACCAGAATTTTAAACATTGATATGATAGTAGTTCAAAATCAAATGATGTTGACACCTGTTTAGATACCATGGCAACAAATAAAAAAGTCCTAGGCACCAAATCTTGGCTATAGTCTTGTTTTTAATTTTTTTTTAAAATTCAGACGTACTCCTGCACACTGTCTGCGATGCACAAATACACTTCAACATTTTGGTTGAGAAATGGGAAAAAGGAATACATTTTTACAACCCTAGTTTACCATCGAAGTTAGATTGTTAGTAATAAGATGTTTTCTGTGCTGTGAGTCTGAATGTCGTCTGTCTTACACTGAATAAATACAATAGGCTATACTTTTGGCCATAACATCTTGGAATTCATTCAACATCATTTACTGTATGCAAATGTAAATATAAAATCCATTAGCGTTTGCTGAAAAACATCATTAATTTGTACTCTATTCTTTAATAGCAGCTTTCTGCATTCTTTTTAGAACCTGGCTGCAGGGTGTTCTCCATTCAGCCATTAAACCATTAGCACATGATTTTCTAAAATTAAATTATGATCTGTTGAACTACAGGATTAGACTTCCCTTAATGTGTGCAGTCTAACCATGAAACAAAGCTCAGACACAAGTACACAAATGTAAGAGGATGTGCATCTGAGTTCCCCTATTGTGTGGAAGATTTAATAAACAATGACACACCCAAAAGCAAATGATAATGATTAAATCACAGCTTTTGAGCTTTGGAATGTTTTTCAATAATGTACTACAATATTCCTTCTTTGTCCATTAATTTTATTTTGCCTCTTCTCTATCTCTGCCCGTCTCCGTCTTCCTCACCCACATTTTCCCTCCTCCCTCCCTCTCCAAGTCTGTGACGGCGGCGTTGCTGTCTCTGAGGATGGTGTACCCACGCAGGAACCTGCCAGCAGAGCAGTGGCGGAGCGCCCAGCTCCTCAGCTTGCTGAGTGCTCCAGCTGCCATGCTGGACCCGACCTGCTGCGACACTGTGAGAGTCCAAACTCCATCACCTCTCCTCCTGTATTTATCTCTGACAGGGGGAGAAAGAGAGCGAGGAAGGGGGTGTACATGGTTTTCTAGTGATGTCAGGCACAAGTTGTCACAGTTAAAAGAGGCAGTAGCAGTAAATGTGTTGTCTTGGAGGTCACAGATAGTCCACTTTAGTAACACGTTTCCTCTCCTTCCATCATAGAGCTATCATTACAGTAAGACAACGGTTTACTGTGACCTAATACTCCTCCTTTAGCATTTTTCTCTATCATTCTTCCATTTTGCACAGTTCAGTCCTCTGCTATCCTCGCTGCTGTCTTAAAAATGACTGTTACTCATGAAATTATGTTACCACCCTGTTTCCTGAGATTTCTTCATATAAAACCAACAAAAGGTTAATAGCTTTAGCTATTATATCTAACAGATACAATCTAATTTTTAGGTGGAAAAGTAAACATTTGAACAGATAAAATCTCATTTAGAAGGCTTCAGTTGAAGGTCTAGCTCTCAAAATTGTTTATGACCAACAACAAGAAGAATATAGCATTTTATTTGCGTCAATATTTCACTTAATCATAGCTCCATACATGCAAATATAGAGCTGTACTGTAGATGTTTTTTTTTGTCAATTAATTCGCTTTATTGTTACCACAGATGGCTTGTGAATACCTGTCGATGGAGGTGATGGAGCGCTGGATCGTTAGTAAGTTACACATTAACTTAGTCCATAAATTCACCCAATAAATGATCATAAAACTAAGCACTTATACTAGAATATTTCAAATAGGATAGTACTTTATTGATCCCCAGAGGGGAAATTCGGGAAAATCGGTTTGGCATCAGTTTAAGTTTCTGACTATTTGAAATGACATGTAAGGAAGTGCAAAAGAACAGACTATAACAATATAAAAAGGATAGTTCTACGTTGAACGTGATCTTTCAGAAGAGGTATTTCAGTAAAAGATGTTTATAAATGTATATTGGACTTAAAGGAGCACTGTGCTGTCTAACTTACTTAGATGTTTACATTGAATATCAGTTAATCTAACATTTAAATATACTTATAGTTACATTTGTGGTTTTGCCCATGTCATTTATTTAAAAACTTTGACTTTTGATGCCCTTAATCACAATCTCTGAACATTCAAAGATTCTTTCAGTCACTTTTTAAACACATGCAGCTATGAGAAACCACATCCAAACACTGTACCCTAAATGCAGCTGCCTGTGCTCCCTTTAGTTGGCTTCTTGTTGTGTCACACCAGCCTGAATACAAACCAGGCATCCCAGGAACTTTGGAAGATGGCTCTGCGGAGCGGCCTCTTCCTCACCCTCACCAGAGATGAAGTACTTAACATACACAAAGTCTCTGAGGAGCTCTTCGACAGCTTCAAAGGGTATGTAAGCCGCGCTGCTACAGTGTTCTCTTAATGCACCGTCGAGTGTTAGAAATAGTTTTAGGTGACGAATACAAATTTAAAGAGGCAGATAACAGACCAAGAGTGCAAGATAAAGCGCCCTCTTGTTTCAGACGGTTAGTAAAGGAGAACTGAGTTTAAAATGCCATCCTCATTTCTCTTTAATTAAAGTGTCGTGAACTGTTGAGGACCTCTCGTCTGGTCTCTGTGATTGCTCATTAATTCTGGAAAGGAAGCTCTGTGCTGGGCATTTATCTGCATTCTTAACTGCCTGATACTTAGATATAGATACATTACATATAGGAATGAGTTTTAGCTGGGATTATTATATCAGATTACTACACAAATACTTGAAGTAAAAAATATCCATTCATCCAACTGAACAGAAAAGTAATCATATCTTTGGATTTTTGTAATAAAGAACATTTCTTTCAAACAATTAATACAAAAAAAAAAACAGCAGCAGGGGCCTTAGTGCTGTAAATCATCAAGCCCCGCCCCTTGTGACGTCAAATTCTGACCTGTTTTATTTATAATGTTGAACATTTTTAATACATCTACAGTCCAGATCAAAACTTTAACAGATTTATTTAAGGTAGCGTCTACTGCTAGATAAGTAGCTTTAAGCCTGACCCACTTTAAAGGACTGTTGAAATAAAATAACGTTAGACTATCCCTGATTCATTTCTAAATTACAAAAAAAAATAATAATCATGGGAGCATGAGTTTGTGACATGTGTATCCTAAAATTACAGGAGAAGAAAAGAAAATAGCATAATGAAATTCATGCAAAAAGCCAGTAAAAGTAAAGCAAAGACAAAAATGATAAATAATTGGATTAAATTTAAAAAATGCTTGAATTATCATTATTCTTAATCAGTTGATTATCACATTTGGTTATCAATGTTTTCCTTCATTTTCATCAGATATAGCAAGAGAGTTGCAGACATCAAGGAATGCCGTGAGCACGTTATAGTCAACGGGTGAGACTGGTCAAAACTGACACGTTTTTCCATCACTTCAGTATTCTCAATATGAGCTGTGAATCTCACAAACCCCCTGACCTTTTCCTGCATTACTACCAGAGGAGCTCTGCACCGAGAGCGGAGGCAGTTTCTGAGAGGAGCGCTGAAGGAATTATTCAAAGTTCTGGAGGATGAACCTGGACTTCTGGGACCAAAGGTATAAGCACAGGAATTAGCTACCAGCATTTGAGGAATTTAAATCATTCTATTACTGCAAGTTCTAGGTGCATAATGAATTTGTGGTCATGTGACTTATAAACAAAACTGTGTTTCTGATGTGGCTTCGTCCTGCCCACATATTGGACTCTTGATTGTATTTGGACAGCAGGGGAGAATTCCTTTGAATGACCTCTCATTTCATCATGACTTTTACCAATCTTAGCTCCGACTCCTTCCTAACATTCCTCTTTCTTCTCTGTTCTGTGTGCCAATCGAATCCCACAGGCCCTGTTTGTCTTCATGGCTCTGTCGTTTTCCCGTGACGAGGTCCTGTGGCTCGTCAGACACTCTGAGAATATGCCAAAGATAAAAACGCCAGAGGATTACATTGACAAGTAGGTCGCACAAATCTGTCAGCTAAAAAGTTCTCCACCACTGCAACTCCAGCAGCATCTATGAGATATAACTGTCCTTTAGAAAAGATTTGCAATAGCTTTTTTCAGACATTGGTGTTGGTTTGTTCTGTCTGTTCTTCCAGTCAAATGGCAGAGCTGCTGTTCTACATGGAGAAGCTCAGAGGTCTGATGAAAAACTATTACCTTGTAGTTCAACGCTACCACGTCCAATACCTGTCACAGTTTGATGCCCTGGTTCTCAATGACACCATTCAGGTACGTGCAGATATCTAGAAAAAGTCAGCTCACACTCGCACATCACTAATTCAGGTGCTGAGTCGTAAAAATCCCCACTAGATATGATGCACACTCGCAACACTATGGACTCCCAAAGATATCCTTATTTATTTGCTATATATAAAGGCTCTTATTCAGGTGCACGTTGTAAAGCAAATAAATTAGTATATCTTTGGGAGTCTTTGTGCATCACATGGAGTCACAGAGTCACATGCAGATATCCTACAAAAAATTTAGAAAATGACATTGCACCAATGCAGGTCTTATGGTCCCTGTCCTGCTACTGCTAGAGAACACACAGGCCCATACACAAATGCACACTCACAATGCAGCACTCAATTATGTGCAGAAATGAAGGTGAATAATAACATTTCTGTACAATTATTAATACATGCAGTACTGTATTTGTAACATAAATCATGAAACCTTTATTTCTCCTCTCCAGAACATGTATGTTTGTCCAGAAGAAGAATCAGTCCTGATGACTTCATTTGTCTCCACGCTGTCCGCTCTGTCAATCAAACAGGGTAATCTCAACAAGATATGGCAGATTATCTAAAACTGAACACACTCCAAATAACCTCTACTTCAAATGCCCCATGAAATATGCAGTTTGAATTATAATGCTCTGAATTTTCCCCTGCAGTGGAAAACAAAGAAGAGTTTGACTTCAGAGGACTTAGACTGGACTGGTTGAGATTGCAGGTGAGTAGAGTTTCATGCTCCAAACAGAAAACTGCAGTGTTTTCATTTATAATTTTAGACACTGAATGGATGTAACCTTGACAGTTTATCTGTCTTCTGTTTAAGGCATACGCAAGTGTGAACAAGGCTCCTCTGCCATTAAAGGACTACCCTGACTTAGCAAAGGTGATGAACGTGATCCAGTTTCACACCAGGATGGTGGACAGTGTGGAGGAACTTCTGCAAGAGACATCTGAGATGTCCATACTCTGGTCAGATTCTCCTCTCCTCTCCTCTCCTCTCCTCTCCTCTCCTCTCCTCTCCTCTCCTCTCCTCTCCTCCTCCTTTCCTCTCCTCTCCTCTCCTCTCCTCTACTATCCTTATATAAGGGTGTTTCTTTTTATGTTTCCTTTATTAGCTTCTACCCTCGAGTCTTCGAGAAGATGTTCATCCAGAGCAGCGAGTTGGTGTCCATGAAGCGTTACCTCATGGCGTTCCCTATCGCCTGTTCTCACTTTAGCCTTTGTGGACACCCTCTGTGCCCAGAAGAGGTCAGTGTTCAGTTATTTGCTGACCAGGCTTTTACTGTCATCATCAAAATCAATGAATACACCGGTTACACTTAGTGCCAAGTTTTAATTGTAACACTGCATTATGATAGGAAAAGATACTGGATTTTTTTTCAATTGATGACCATTTTCTCATTTTTTTTACTCTGAGATACTGCAATTTTGCTGTATTTGCTTTTTAATAACAGGAAAGTAAGAATAAGTAAAGTTATATCTGCTTGTTTTAAAGTTCACTCACGTGTGTGTGTGTGTGTGTGTGTGTGTGTGTGTGTGTGTGCGTATGTGTGCAGATAGGAGCAATGGAGAAGAGGAGTCTGCGTCTGTGTGTGACCTTCTTGGAGCAGATAGCCAAGCTGACCAGCAGTGTTGTGTTGGAGATTTGTGCTGAGCAGTGCAACCTCAATGACCAGGTGAAGTCTGAAACTATTTTCAGTACTGAAAAAAAAACTTCATTATCTAGCCAGGATTGATTCTGCCAAACTACACATCTAAATATAATCTCAGTCGTCACAATTTGGCAGCGGGGCATTTAGCTTCAGGCGGGGGACATATTTGAGACTTTGAATAAAAAGATAAGACAAAGCTAAAACTCTGGACTTGATTAACGTGCTGTTATTTCTCTAATCCCCCTGAGGAAAATATGATGAAGCTGTTTACATTGGGCATGTTAATCAATATCTACTTGGCTGCATTCTTTCTCCCTCTCTCTTTTTTCCTAATACTTTCCTCTCTCCTTCTCTGCATCCATCTCTCTTTCCACTCCATCCCTTTAGTTGATGCCCAAACACTGTGCTGAGAGCATCAGCGCAGCTCGCCACAGGAAGCAGAAGAAGCCGATGCCAAAGAAAGGAGAAGTCCAGAAAGAGAAGCCAGGCGCTGAGAGCCTGAGGAAAGATCGGACCATCGCCACCAAGTCAGATTTTCTTTTTGTTGCCCTGATCATAGCGATCCTTTCTCAACTTATCTCACTGTGTTTGATCCTTCACTAAGTACACAAACCTGGCAGAAGTTTAGAAAAGTAAGTGTGATAAATACATCCCTGACTCTGGAGATGTGCAGAGTTAACAACTAGCACTTCTTCAGATCAAAGGGCAAATAAATAAACATTGCACAGTTTATAGGTCTGATTTGCAAAGGAGGGAGTAAGGTCAATGCAGGTCATGTGGGTGGAAGTACTTTTGCGTCTACTGACACTTCGAAATGACTTCCTTTAACTCGTGACACATTTCTGTCCTTAAGACACCAGGAAGACAGGATTAAATCCTCTCGCCTACAGGCCATTATTTCTTCTGAACTTTATTACCATTCAAGTTGTGTCAGTCACGGCTGACAGGTACTGAATCAAGCTATTAAAAATAAGAAACAAAACGCCTCAGTGTATTAAAAATAAACTCTTCTACTGGCAGCACATTAAATATTGGCATTTTTATTGTTTTTACCTTATTATTTGGAGAGCTACATTTCTCTAATTAAATCTAAAGACTTGTAATTCTGCCTCTATCCTCCGCTCAGTTTACCTCCCTACTGCCTATTTATATAATCCTCAAACACATTCATTACCTTATCTGTGTGAGAAAAGCACTCACATACTACAGTCATTGTCAATAAAATGTGTCTTAACTTGCATTCTCCCCTTCTCTCTCCCTTCCTCTCTTTCTCTTAGTATGGACAAGATGCACATGATGCTGACCGAGCTGTGCTCCACCTACAGCCTCTGCACTGACTTTGTCGTCTTTGACCACATCGTCGTTCCCACAGAGTTCCTCATTTCTCATCTGGAGACACGCCTCTCTGAGTACGCTGAATGTGGGACGGGAGTGTCATAGTTGTTTAAATAAATGTTGGTGATGTAGTGGTTCTAAAAGTTTCAAAGAATTCCGTAAGATGATATCTTGAAGTTTTTTTCTAAGATATCTTTAAACACTAGAATCTGTGCAATTCATATTAATATTTTTCATATTGCATATGTAAAGGCTAATTTATGAAGTGCTTTTACAAAGAAAATGAAAACAGGATATTAAGAAAGAAACACAAATACAGAATGCAGATGATGCAAGACATTATGTTCAATGTAAACAGCAAAATATGTAAAAACAAAGCAGAGAGAAGGCAGAAGGATGATAGAAACATTGAGGAATGTAAAGGAGGCAGTCAGAATTAAATAGAATATTTCAAAAATATATAGAATGAATGAATATAAACATATAAAAGCAAAAAACTAAAGTTAATGTTCTGTGAGGAACTTTTGGTTTGTCTCAATTTTGGCGCCCTCCCCCGTGGACTCATTTTGTCTTGTGCATGTATAAGTAGTGTTTTCTGACAAATAATCTCATCCTTCCCTTTTTAAACAGCCAAATGTATCACACCCTTTGAGTCTTTCAGGGTGTTCTTAACATCCTCATCTGACACTTACCCCATGGCAGCATTAATAGACATTTTTAATAACATCATCTCTTCTTTAATGGGCTCATTTGTTTTGTAGGTCTTAAAGAGACATCAGCATTCATTTTAGTCTTTTTCATCACCAGATAAAAACTCCTCACAGGAGACATAAATAAAGATAAAGTGTTTGGATTGCTCTACACCTTACTTCAGCATTTTTTATTCAAATTTACAGTCATGGAGAAAGACATAAACACCCACTTTCATATTTTAGGGGCATGCTGTTCATTCAAAATGTTTCCCTCTGCCAGTGTGTAAATGAGCTGTATAATTGTCTCTCATTTTAGTAATGCAATGGCATCATGTCCCTGTTTTTAAATGGTGGAGTCTACATCCAAACTCATTGACTTAATACTTGTGGCTGACATCCACACTGAAGAGAGGCTATAAAAATGTTAAACACTGTGACCAGGATGGTTTAGAGGAATGGGAAACACTTCAAACTTCATTTTCTCCCTTATTCCCACTTTGGTGCACAGTGGTCAATCATTTGGAGCTTTTCTCTTTATAAATTGTCTCCTCCATCACTATTATGAAACCTGCTTTTCTATCCTGTAGGTCAGACTGTGTTGCACCCCCTTAAAAATCTGAAAATACATCCATCATGTCACTCTCTAGTTCTGTTTTAGTGCCTATGGTTATTTAGATTAGGGGATTGGTACCAGGGCAACCCAGTGTTTCTGTGTGCTCTGCTTCATCTCCCTGTCTTAGCTGATGCTTATCTCCCCTGTCACCCTTGAGTAGCAGCATGCTAACATGCTTTACAATCATACAAACCAGGAATATTAGAAAACTATACAGCATTAATGTGCTTGATGTCATTTCTGCATTACAAATATTATTTATTTTTTCTTGTGATTTCATGTTCGGCTGTAATCGTGGTTTAAAGATCACCAAGCAAGGTGAAAAATTGTAAATTCAGTTCACTCTGAGAGGCAAAGAGAAAGTTTTAATTGAAAACATAAATAAGATTGCAGTGAACCTTGCAGGAGTGATTGTGCTGACCTATAATGAGCGTACTGTTCCATGCCTCCATGGCTCGTTTAATCTGTTTTAAGGTCCCATCTGTCCGCTCTTAATTATACTCTGACTTGGTGATAAGTGACGTTGGTTAAACATGTTTCTCCAGGATCATCGTGAGAATGGCAAATTACAACCAGGCCACCCAGGAGATAGCCCGTCCCTCAGACCTCCTGGCGGGGCTTAGAGCCTACACGGCCAGCCTGCAAAGCCTCTCCAGCTACATCAACGTGGACGTCACCCGGCTGATGAGGAATGTGCTTCTGCAGCAGACGCAGCCCCTGGACCCTAGAGGAGGACAGACCATCACCACCCTCTACACAAACTGGTGTGTGCGTGTTATACAAAGTATTAACTGTGTAAAGGTGTCCATGTAGAACAAATTTATCCAACTGGATAGTGAATCTTTGACATTTGTAATGTTGCAATCATGCAAAGAAAAGTACTGGAAGCAACATGTAGCTAGCAACCATAAGTACGTCTTTGTGGTTTCTCTCCGTCTGCCTCATTTCCTGTCTTTATTTTTTGTAGAAAGTAAGTTGTTTGAAGTCTGAAGATTTTGCTTTTCTCACTCTCAGGTTCCTGGAGAGCCTCCTGCGCCAGGCCAGTAACTGCCTCATCGTTCACTGTCCCACGATGCACTGCTTCGTCAACCAGACGACTGACAACGACCCGCATTTTAGAGCGGAGGAGTTTTCTGATATATCAGGTTGGCCCCAGTGCTTAATCACAGAAATTTGATTTGAAATGTTTCATTAGTCAATATGAACCTCGAGGTAGATTTTTTGATTACATCTGGATGAATGCTCACATCTTTAATAGCAAAGTTAGACGTGCTGCTTTTTTGCACATCTTGATGTAATTGACTTAGTGTAATACAAAAAAAAGAATTGCAAGACTAATAACACAAAGCTTTCATTGCATGTTGCATCTTATGTAAACTCAGTTCAAATATATCCTAGCCATAGCAACCACAGCCATAGCAACAACTCTCACTTTTAAAGGGATTTACAATAAACATTGCACACTAAATTTATGTATTTAAACTCCCAAAAAGTATGAAGAATGTTTGTCAAGGTATGAAAAATTTGATGTTAGTCTTCTTCTATGAGAAAGTCTGCATGAAAGGTGGAAGAAGGCCTTAAAGAGAGAGCTACTGCATGTGTTCCTCCATTTTGACTTTTTTGCAGACAAAAGTTATCATACTTGACAGAATCAAAATGTATCTCTGAACGATTAAAGGTTCTATGATAAAGGGCTGAAAGATTTACGAGACGGCTCCCTGAAGGCACTACTTGCAGATACCTCTCACTGTGACACCACACACGCAGAGGGAGAACTGTTGCTCATGAGGATGTGAAGCCTGTTATTGTTGCGATGTGTGTGATGCTCTCATTCACACTGCCTGTCATACTCTGACTCTGCCTGGCAAATGTAAAGCTCAGTATTGCTTATCATCTCCCCAGCGTTTCCCTCCATACCTCATTATAATTCCAGCATCACATATCTCTCCTCCGTGCAGCCTCCACACTATAGGAGCAGTGGACCTCCCTATGACTGTATTACGGCTATATTTACTTCACTCCACACACACATGGTACCCAAGAGTCCACTGCACTTCAATAGACGCCCCCCTCACAATGTCATCATCTTTGTCTATATTTACTCCGCAGTGAGGTATCTGCCTGCCTCACAGTGACTCACTCGCCCATCCATTAACCACCTCCAATTTTAACCACACACGTCCTTATCCATCATCATTCAGGCAGAGATGTTGAGCTGAGTGAAAGGTCTAATAGCTGCAGTTGTCTCTCTCCCACTGATTCAGCTACTCTCAGGAATCAGATCGGATCTGTGTCCTTTGTTGTTTTTGTCATTGGCAGAGAACCAGACCTCTTATTTGATTCACGTCAAAAATCCTCACTACAAGCAAGAAAAACATCTTAATTTTTACCTGGTCCTTGTGTGCATTTTTGTAAACATGTTCAGCTGTTTGAGATCAAAATCTGTTTTGGCTTCATGGTCATCATTCATGTCATCTTCTGAACAGAGTTAAAAGCCCTGGCAGAGCTGATTGGTGCATATGGAATGAAGTTTCTGAGTGATAACCTGATTTGGCACATCACCTCTCAAGTCAGCGAACTAAAGGTACAGTAAGATCAAATCTATTTTCTTAAATCTTCTGTATTTTAAGGATTGGGTTTGAGCAGTGGTCGGCTGAATCACCAAGTTAAATGTATAAAACAATGGATTTTAGCCTACTTGTCTGCAGCTGGAAGACTTTCTGACCCTGAATAAAGAAAATAAAAAGTTGTAATGCCTTCATGTTATGCAATGATTTTCTTTAACCCCTTTAGAAATAATGGCCATGTAACCCACATGAACATCAGATATAAAAATTGGCAGCTTCAATATGCCTTTAAAAACTGTAAGGACCTCTATGTGAAAGACGTGCAAGGGATAATTGCATAATCAATCACAACTGGCAGCATATCAATTTTTATTGTTCACTTTCACACAAAGAAAAGTCTCTAGGTCGAGGGGGTAGTGTGACAACTTTGAACTGACATTCAATACAAGGAACACAGCATCTCCTTAAACTGTCAAAATATAACTGGTGCGTCAGTCTCCTCAGTTATGATTCAACTAAAGAAAAGCTACAAGATAAGCTACACAAAATGATATAAATATAAAAACTGTCATTAACAACTCGAACAAGAGGATGAAATTTCATTTGAAAAAAAAGGTTAACAAACCAGTCGTTCAGTCAAACACAAAGGATGACAGGAAACAAGGCATAATGAGCTGTGCTACAATTTTTTTATATTGTCATAACAGCAAATAGAATATTAAAATGTAATTTAATTTAAATTCAATGCACATACATTTAACAGTTAAAACAGCTTAACCACACAATATTGGATGTGTGCCAGTAGCCTGATGTAGCCACAAAGCTAGTTTGCTATTAGCTTTGAGTTTAACAAGGTTTTTTTCTCTGTCAAGATTGGAGCTTGCTTTAATGTGGAATAACAAACTGTGTTATGATAACATATCCTAAACATGAATAGTTTTCATTGACAGGTGAGAGGTGATTTTTTTTTTTAGCAAAGGTTAGCCATTTATTTCAAACAAGCTTCCTAGCACTTTGTGTGGTTAGCTCTTTTGTTGTTAGCTGTAGCTAGAGTGTTTCAGGTCTAGGTCTTAACAAAGTTTGGAACAAATATTTAAAAAGTATAGTCTGTGTGTTAACATAGCAGTAACAAATGAACTGTAAGTCTTCCATTAAAGATAAATAAATAGACTACATAGATTTACTCATTTAGAAGTGATTTCTGTAACGTGAGATGTTGTGCTTCAAAGTGATCTTGTCTTTCATAACATCTGATCCACAAGAAGCCAGTTAGTTCTGCTGCACTGTGTCATGCTCCAAGCTTTAACACATTTGACTGTAGCTACTCTTCATGTACTGCCAGCAGATCTATCACAGTTATGACCTCCCTCCATTAGGACTCCCACACGAAGGTGGCTGTATCACCGTCTTTTTTTTTTTTTTTTTTTTTTACTACTTCCCTATCTCCTGTCAGAAAATGGTGATTGAGAATATGGACGTTCTGGTACAGATGAAGAACAACTTTGATAAGCCCGAAGAAATGGCCAACCTGAAGAAGAGGCTGACAGGTGAGAAGTGGAGAGGGGAAGGGGGAAGAGATGAAAGAATGAGAGGTAGGGGGTGGAAAGCAAAGTAATAGATAAAAGGAGTAGGTGTAGAGAAATGGAGACAGGATGAGATCAGGTAGTGAAGATGTATAAAGTGAGAGAAAATGATGTCAGGGGGAGGAGAAACGTGGCAGGAATCTAAAGAGGAGTACGATGGATGAATCACTCAGACCATAATTAGTTACACACAGCCATACACATATATATTTATTTATTTAGCAGAACAGCTGGTCCATGTTCTGTTACATAGAGTAGTCATTTATTGCAAGCTATCATATTAGCCTAATAGAAAGATGCATTTTCAGAATATGAATGAGGATTGATGTTAATCTATGGTAATGATCATTATGAGAATAAACTTTACTTATGTAGCACTTTTCTTAACAAAGATCAAAAGTGCTTCACTAATTATACAGAAATATAAAAGGAAAGGAAGCAGATAGAAACAACACAGGAAAAAGTGTTCAAAGAAAGATAAAACAGAAGAAGCCTCCTGGCAACAACTACAACATGCACACCTATCTGTGAAATCAGCCTTGCCCCTATTTATGACAAGTTCTTTACAATTTTATAATGAAAGGGATGATTAAAAAAATCATGGCCGCTAAAGATTTTTACCAATATAGAAATGAGCTTTAGAGACCCAAACTGTTTATTGTGCCATGCTGTAAACATGTTTAACTGGGCTGTAAAAATAAACTTTTTAAAATTGGCTTTAACGGGGGGTTTCTTGGCGTTTGCAGCCAGCCTCAAGTGGACACTCAAGGAAATGTTTTTTTTTTCTTTTTGCACTTGTGCATTGGCCTCATTTTACAACACTGGAAGTTTCTTCCTGGTTTAAAGCCATACATGTACTTTATCTCCTCCTGTGGAGCCCATATAGTCACAAAATACAGCAGTACTCAAATGATAATTTTTATTGAACTCAAATGCAGTAACTAAGCCAGCAATGTAACACCACCTGGCGTTAGAATGACAGTTGATTTTTTCATAGCATCAGAGGTTAATCAAGGTATAAATAACCAGCAAAGCTGTCAGACACTTCACAGTAATAATCTCATCTGCCCAGCCATGACATGTTCTCATACGTTAAAACAGAAATAGTCACACATGCAGCCACGTGTTGTACCATATAAGACAGAGGTTTATCACTTCAAATGCTGATCTGTTTCATCTGCACTTGTAGGAGGAGAGAACGTGCTGAAGAGGATGACAATCGTCGGGGTTATCCTGTCCTTCAGAGCAATGGCTCAGGACGGTCTCAAAGATGTAATACTCAACAACATGTTGTCATCATTCATTACATACTCCCACCAGGCATAAACAACCAACCAGTGTGAAGTATACTTTTTAAACTCAATTCAGAGTGATAGTATACTCTTTGAACTAGGAGAGGTAAATTCAGAGTGACACTTCATTCTTGAGCTCATGGAGAGTGGAGTGATTATTTAGTTGTATCTCAGGGTTCACTCACATGCTTACAGACCTGCATGTCATGCAACTGAAGTAAGTGGGTTATGTACCAATGAAGTTAGAACCAATATCAACTTTGTTATTAACCTATTTCAAAAATCTGAACAGCACAGTTCATCTCAAAGTGTTTTTCAGACAATACAGGTTCATAATATTAACTTGCACTGTCAATCACCTGTCATATAGAGCTAGGAGAAAACCGCCCTAGACTACTAGAAGGTAATTTCTTTATTATGCATGATCATAATAATACTAGTTCATATAATCCTTTTATCTAGATCCTGCATAAGCATTGCCCATACATGATTGGGCCCATCGAGTACCTGAAGGACTTCATCACCCCTGAAGTCGACATCAAGGTAAAACACCATAAAAGATCAATCCATATATTGAGGAATGGGAGTGCTGTATCAAGGTTTCTCTGTGCACAAGTCATCCACAGTTTAACAGAATTAGATCAAGGGTTTATTTTCAAAAGGCAAACTTACTGTGGGAGAATTCAGGTTGATGGTATATATCATATTTTCATTTGTACAAATACATTAACATTAAGGACTTTTGAGAATTGACTGTTTGCCATCAGAAGTTTTGCAAACTGCAGCACAGCGTGTGGCACAATATCATTGATACAGATATGAGACAACTCAGCTGTAGATGTGAGTGGGAGAGTGGCAGAGAAACAGTTTAATTGTTTTTTTCCTGTAGTCCCATACAAATAAAATTCCTTATCTCCCTGTGGAGCCATCAGTGTGACTGTGACTCATGAACTCCCCCTCCTTCACTTACGTCTGGCCTCTGAGTGCAGCATGACAGCCGTGCCACAGCAGAGGCCGGATAACCCCAAAGACGTCAGCAGCCCCCTCATGCCTCCGTGAGAGAGAGAGACTCTGCTGCTGCTGCAGCTCTGCACTCTCGACCACATCAGTGGAAACTTTCTGCCCAGACAGGCACACAACCAGAAATAGGGCTAGATCAAAACCTGTGTGTCAACACAACGACACTCTCCAATGATTTAATGTGACACAGAGGAGAATATGTGTGGGGCAGGTACATGCAATGAACAGCAGAGATTAGCACTAGGCTGTTTTTAAGGAGTTTGTTAGCAAGAAAAATGAATAAATTACTGTATGACTAAAATAAATAGCATGAAGTTCAGAATGCACTGCCTGCTTCAAACTACATTTTTTTTTTAAAAGTTGGATATCCTTCAAAGCTATCGGAAACACAAATACATCATAGTTTTCTGACCATGTGATATACAGCAGGGTCTTCATGCATGATAGTGAGTATCTAAAAATGCAAGAAAATGTATTTAATATTTAAGATATTGTAATGTCACTCTTTGTAAACTTTTCTGATTTGGTGTGAATATGGTTCATTGAATTTATCATAGGACCAGGAATGTATAATGTAATTTGTTCTGCAATCCAGTCATGGAAAAAAAAATTCACACAGCAGTTACTAAGCTGTTTACACTTAGCATTAGCTCTGTCGGCCCGGTATCAACCAGGCGTCAACCGCCGGTGTTGAAAATCGAAGGCGATGCAGAAGTTGATTTAATGTAGGATAAGAGTTATGCATAACTAGGCGCGTAGCTGACCTGATTGACAGGCTGACGTGTTGTTAGGTTGACTGAAAGTTAGGTTGAGACAGCATTTTCAGCCATCGATTGGACTTAAAAGCCCCCGGAAGTCACAGATGGGTGATGTAACTTCAGGCTTCGTCCATTCATATTTACCGACAATTGTATTGACAGTGGTCAGTGCTCATTGTCCATCATGGTTGTCTGTTTGCAATGTGGGAGTTTAGTGAGGATTGTTAACTAAAAACTAACTGCAGAAATCATATAATTCATTTCTTTAACAATACGGCACTACCTAACACTATGGAGCCGTCGTTTGGCAGTGCATTTATAGCTTTGAAAACAAGCAGAGGAATCTCAGCTTATGTTTCATGTGTCTGCTTACTACTAACTATGAAATCAATAATGAAGCATTTTCGAACAACATTCAGGGACAAATTGAACTGAATTTGCTCAGATGGCAGGGCTTCTGCTCCCTCCTCTGAATATTACTCAGAGAACTCAACATTACTTCTTCAGTCATGGTCACACGCGGCAATAGTGTGTGCCAATGTTGATCAAAATGTGATGACAAGGCCCACATAGTCAGAGAGAAGCTTTGGAATAAGTTTCTCTAATGGTGACAAGCATTTATTTCACCCTAATGTTAGTGGATATATAATGTGCAATTGTACTATTTTTAACAGACATTTCCAGAGACTACTGCTTTCTACTACTTTCTGTCCATACAGGTGACTCTGAGCATTTTTGAGCTTGCTTCTGCTGCAGGGCTAAGATGTGATATCGATCCTGCCCTCGTCACAGCTATTGGCAGTATGCAGACAGGTAACACTTATTATTAGTGCCGCTTCTGCAGACAGAGACATCTAAAGTCAGTCTATAAAAATAGTGTTCTTCCATCTCATTACGCTTTCTTTGTAGATAACACGTCAATTGACGAGGAGTACAAGCTGTCCTGTTTGCTGCTCGTCTACATCGCCGTGTCCCTGCCTACCCTGACCCTGGACCCCAACTCCTTCTACAGCCGGGAGCATGGAGGTGCATATTCATTCATCCATTTTCAGCTCTTACTAACTGCTTGACATTAATAGCTCTCCAGACTGCCCTAACACAAATGCTAATCTTTGCTTCCTCCACTGATTACTTACCCGCTGCTGATAGTGTATCAAAACAGTACTCCACCCTCAAACGCTAAGCCTATTAGCATCATCAGTGTGTTTCCAGTGTGACTGATGTGGTCGGAAGCAAAGTATGGTGGTTAATGAGAAACACATTTCGTCTGAGAGACGCTGTTTACAGATAACTTCTACTGACGTGCATCGATACAGTTACTCTTGGCATGTGGCCCCAAATGTTTGGCCCCGAGCCAGGACTACAAGATCCAGAGAGCGGTTGGCACAGGGCGGCTTTTGTCTCTGATTATTTTCTTTGTCTGTATTTTCCATTGGTATGTTTAAAATAAATGGATCCTGTGAGCCTGAGGAAGTATGCCCAGTATGTGTCCTCTTTAGTGCCATGCATCATTAAAGAAATGTCTCCAATTGTTGGGCCATGAAAAACATCCCATTCCCTGGCTAAAATTACAGGACATGCTAATCTTTTCTTTCTAATTTTTAAGGTTAAATATGTGTGTTTTATATTTTCTCAGGCCACAACAACAACATCCACTGTTTAGCTAAAGCTATCAACCAGCTGGCTGCTGCCATGTTCACATTTCAGAACAAGAACATAGAGCAGCACCTCAAGGAGTTTCTCCTGGTGAGTTGCAAACATTTTTACATTTCTCACATATTAAATGGATTATATAACAGTTTTGGGCTTCAAAAATTGTAGTTTGATACCTGAATTACTCTGGGTTAAATGCAGGTTTACACACATAAATGATTTTACAGTTCAGTTTTTTACTAAGTGTTGCAGTTTTTCAAGGCTTTAAAGATTAAATATAGGTTGAATAGTCCCTCTTCAAATGAGCTCTGATTATCTGATTGACCTGCACCCTTAAAGATGTCTAAAGGAGACCTTGCTTTGTATTACATGCAAGATTAAAGTTTTCTATCACAGAATTATTAATTAGCTTCAAAGAAGCGACAGACGGTGGTGGCATCATGCAGGGAATCTCAGAAAGGCATTAGCAGAAACAGTTCTTATACTGCAACAGATGAATGATTTCTTGGGCAAACTACTCCGACAATATTTATATAATATATAAATAATAATTATAATATGTTTTTTCAAGTTCACTGCTCGCCTTGACTTTGTGTTTGAGGTGAAATCCACCTCTGTTTTATTTCTCAGATGGCCTCCTCCACTCTGCTTCAGCTGGGACAAAATGTGGAGCGAATAGAGAGCAAAAACCGAGAGTCGGTTTATCTGCTCCTACACATGGTAGGTCGGCCATTTCTGATTGTGTATTTTTAATTTAACAATAAGGAATTTCTAGGTTTATAAGCTGACTGATGGAAAAACCTCTGACCCGTCATTAATTGAGTTTTTTCTCTTGATTATAAGCCCTTACACCTGCAGTGTTTTCTGTAAAGGATTATTCCTTATCGTCGAAGCACTCGTAAATTAATGATTAAAGTCATTAAGGGCATCCTATTAACCCTTTATAGTAAAGAGGAACTTCTATTTCAAATGTAAGGAGACAACTTGTACCATTTCAAGAAAACAGAAATCTCATAAAGTACAGTATGTGCAGAAAAATGACATCTATTAAAAACCTTTAAAAATCCTGCACACATATTCGAGTTGCCTTTTACGATGGGAAAATTGTGAAGGTGCAAATGTATCATATTAAAGAAAGGACATGATTTATTCAATTTGTATGCAAACAGATACCACAAAAATACAAAAACAAGCAACAAAGTGATCCCACCAGCAATTACCAGTACATGTATTCAAGAATGAATACATGAATGAGCTGAACATAGATACTGTAATCTGAAAACATGGATTAATAAACATTTGTAGCCTCCATGTGTTAATAATGAAGCACATCTCAACTCTTTTTATAGCCAGAAGGTTTTGCAAAAAGGAGCTTGAGTGTAGGTTATTGAAGTCTATGAGAAAATGAACCCACATGTCACTCCAGTTATTCCCTTTCTTAATGCATGTATGGTCTTATTCAAAAGCCTCAAGTCATCGTCCTCTTCCATACATCATATTGCAGGGCTCAACATTATAACCGGTCCACTTGCCAAACAATTCATTTTCCTGTGCTATAGGGTGCTTTGTCAGTGATTCTTGTGACATCATCTCGTTAATTACTGCTACAGCATCAACATTTCATAAGCGCCCGTGTGTGTGTGTGTGTGTGTGTGTGTCATAATTGAAGGCAGTCGCTGTGACAGCTACACTGCTGTCACTCCCACGAGCATGCTCACTACATTCAGATTGTACACCCAACCACAGACTGCAGTGCAGGTTTTCTCTCATGAACTTGTATGGTAAAATGTTTTTAAGAACCACAGGTTGCATGCCAAAAGCTGCGCAAAATCAACATTTAGCCAAGAGAAACATCACAGAGAGGTTGAGGGAGAGTGGCAGATAGTATGAAAACAGTAATGAGAGAAAGTTTTAGCCACACTGGTGAGACTGCTGGAGTTGGCTGGAACACGAAGCAGCTGAGAATTACATTTTTTGCCAAATCTGCTGATTAATGCAGACATCTGCGGACAAGTAAAGTGAGTATTGAAAAGACAAGGTAAAGACAAAAGTAATGTTCCTGGGCAAGTGTTCACAATAGTGGGGCCGGTGATCTTTAAAATGTAACATGCTGTAGTCAAAGCCTTTACTTACACTTTTTTTTTACTTTATTTTTATAAACAAACACAGAAAAACAAGATAGAACAAACAATTGTTCCTCCAAACGTTATTTTGTTTTACTGACGGAAGTGTCAGTTCATATGTAATCACCTCTCAAGGTTACAAACATGATCTATTTTTTAACGAATTGTCGATACTTTCCTGCCCTCAGATTTGGTGAGAAAGTCTTTCTCTCTATACTTTGATTATTAGTCACAATGTCTATTCAGTCAGACTTTGTTGGAAGTTTGGACTGTTACCATTTTCATGTTGAGAAAGAAATATCAACCCTGATGCCAAAAAGGTTTTGTAGTACCTACCTGTATGTTACCTCCTGCCAGTGTGACCATTTATAGTCCTTTTTAGTGAAATAGATCTAAATCAGTAAAAAGGAGTTGGAACCCTTTCATTCACCTTTGGTCACTTCTTGGTCCCAAAAAAACTCTTACTGTCAACTGCAAAACTTGTGGCTTCAAAATAGTACTCAACAACTAATATATGACCTCCACTTCTTCTCAACATGCTACCTTAAATACTCAGTTTCAAACTTAATAAATCCATAGTTAACATATTTCCCAACAAATTACCAATGTATAAAAATCGTCCATTGGTTTTGGAAAATAATATATTACTGAATTGTTTTTAACAAGTTCAGTCAGACAACTCACAATTGCATCGTTTAAAATATGTATTGCAGCATAACATAGTTTGTGATTGGCGTCAGAAATTTGAGGTGTGAGTTGATGACATCTTAAACCCCCCTAGAAGGAGCCTGTGTGGATGCTGGGAATGCTAACCCTAACCCTAACCCTGATATGTCCTCAGTATAAGAGAGAAAGCTGCATTTTTTGTACTAACAATAAAAAAATGATAGAGTACCTCCAGTTTCCCCCATTATCTTTCTCTTTTCTTTTTTTTTTATCACTGATTCACTCAGATTGTGGAGGAGTCTCCGTTCTTGAGCCAAGACATGTTGGAGAGCTGCTTCCCGTATGTTCTCCTCAGAAACGCCTACAGAGAGGTGTACAGAGCCTTCATCGTCACTCTGGGCTGAGGACTTGAACTCTTTTAGCTCTATTTGTCCATTTTAAAGTCAATGAATGTTTCATTTTCATTGTTTTTCAGTCTCATAATTAAACAGCTCATCTCAGTCACACTGGGTTAACCATGACCTAGAATAATAATCTGATAATGCTTCCTGTGTGTTTGCACCGTACAAACACTTGCTTTCATGGTGCTTATCTGTTGATTTGTAGATTTACATCGGCCTTTGTTTTACTTATATTTCATTGTCTATTTCAGATAAAACACATCTGTTTCATGACATAAAAGATACATTTAAAGTACTTTTTGGAATCAAACTGAATTTTTAAAGCTTTTAAATGAATAATTGTAGACTGAAAAACTTACAGAAACCTCCCCTGGCAACCTGTTGCTGATGTATACATATTTTTTTCCACAAGCTTATTCAAATAAAGATGATCATTTTGTCGTTTTTGCTTTCTTTTTGTGTTCCTCTTGTATTTGAAGTCCATCTTCCCCCCCAGCTCCCCTCCCGTTCCTACTCCTCCTCCTCCTCCTCCTCCTCCCTCTATTAGAGTCTTGTCCTCATAATTTTTCATGTAGGCCTACAATTTAAATGATTCACTCCAGCTTTGCAGAACCAAAAGTGCTTGCTTCTAATTTTAGACTCATCCTTTTCAGTGATTTTACTTTGCAACACTCTTTCCTTTTGCTTCCTCCTTCTTCCCTCAGCCCTGTTTTCTGCAGCTACATCCGTTTGGTTGCCACATAAGGGATGTGGAGTGTGTGTTTGTGTGTACGTGTGTGTGCAAATTGTATTTAGGGCTCTAGTGTCTGAGGCCAAGAGAGCCAGCCCTCTCAGAAGAGCACAGGAGGTTGAATTCCCAATACAAGCAACGCTTACGTGAATGAACATTCATGAATAAACACATGACGGTTCCCTTCAAACAGCACAATAAACAACCACTTCATGCAAATTGTTGCAAAAGGGTCAAATCTTATCCGAACACTGTGAGCCTAAGAGAGATATTTAAGTACTGTACATAATGGGTCCTTTGTATGTGTGTGTGTGTGTGTGTGTGTGGGTTCCAGCTCCAGTTTAAAAAGTAAAACATGTTTTTTCTCTCATGCATCATTCCTGTCATGTGCAAAGAGAACAGCTATCTAGCTTTTACTTTCATCATGCCTCCCATTAAGACCCGACCTCACTTGTCCCCTTTTCTTGTGACATCTTTAATGCTTCTATCTTTTCTTCCAGCTGTTAAAGCTTTTGATTTTTTTGTCTATGCTGTGGAGGACAGTGCTGTCCTCATCACTATATCTAATTTAAAACAGTATACAAACAATTAATAAACTGTTTATAATGTACTATAATTGTAGTTGTAAGCAAATATACTTTAAGTGTTTATACTCCTCCTTGACTCCAACATCAAGTGAAGGCTGCTGTATAAACAGATACGTAGATAAATAATGTTGTTGTATGATAAATATGTGATAGCAGAGGGTCAAATACTGTGACTACAACAATGTGACAACGCATTATAATAAACACATACAGTATCACATGATGGCATTGTGCTGCTTATCAATGCTTAAAAAAAATTCATATCAATGTTTTATAAACATTTTCAAATTATGTGTTTGCAAATATTTAACCGTCTAAAACACTGTTTTCTGACCTTTTGGGCCTGTGACCCCACGATGACCTCACGATACTCTGGACACCCCAGATTTCCAAAACACATAGAGCTTTTTTACTTAAATTAATTTGTTTTCAATCATGTGATAGTTTTTCTAGTATGTTGCAAGTAGACATTCATTTTAGACCACACTTAAGGCTTTTTTGTATATTATTGTGGACAGATGAAGAAAGGCTGAGATGACATTTCTGCACAATGGATGCAAGTTTCTTGTTTTGTCATTGGCAATGGCCCTCAGTAGCCTGTGTTCAATATCTTTTAATATACAATATAGATTTTAATTGATCAATAAATAGAAGTTTCAGGTGACCCAATTTGAATTCCATGCAACCCCACATGGGTTTGGGAGCCCAAGGTTGGGAAAGCCTCGTCTAAAACAACACAGTAACAATGTCTTATTAATTGTTAATCACTTGTACATAAAATACATTTTATTTTCAATAATATTACTTTTTAATGTAAGGTGCTTTCAGCTACTTAAAAATATTATTATTCACTTTAAAAACAACCCTGAACATATTGTAATGTTTATACATTGTTACTGTTCTACTCGTTTGTCAATAGTTTTATAAGTTGTACTTCTGTCTGTAGTGTTGTTATAATAGAGTTTGAGATCATTGTGTATTTTAAGGCTTTACATGCAGATGAAGTTTCCCCCTGCAGCTCCACAGATTTTCCTGTCCCGAGACACTGAGGACAGTTAATGGTGGAAACTCTGGTGCTGATATAAAGACTCTCTGCTGATTGTGTTGGTGACACAACCTCTCCTGCTGACACCGGGGATTACACACACACCACCATACACACAAACAAACTGAAAATTACAGTATACACACACTGAGGAAAGGAGTACATGTATCATAGAGTGTACATACAGAGCAGATTTACATAGAAGTCTGTATACAACCAATTCAAACAGAGGACAATTCACACATGCTGGATTTATAGTAACCCACAGATGCTCTATCAGTGAGGTTCACAGTCACATACATGGTGTTCAGCAGTGTTCAGAGGTCATGACACCAACCTGCAGGATTCACAGAGCAGCTGATAGACATCTCAGCCCTATGGCAAGGAGGACCACACTTGAGAGGTAAGAAAGACTGCCTATCTCTGTTTGTTTTTCTTGCACTACACTCCTTGCAGTAAATTACTTAAAACATAAAAACACACACATCACAATGTCTGTGAATCAGCTGCTTGGACAGTTTTCAGTAACACTCTGGTTTTGTGTCGTGAAGTTGCAGAAATGTTACATTTGATTGGGCTGTGAATGGTGTGTTGTTTACTGAGGTGTACTTTATGCAGACATTTGTGGCGTTATAAGTAATATTTGGACAAATTCAGTTATAATGATAATGTCTTTTGTGTCAATAGCCCCTTAAAATGTGCGTCCTTATCCAAATACCAAGTTTTATATAGGCTTACTGCTTGCAGTGTTGCATTCCTGCTACCAGCTCTGTCAGACTGTTTGTGCATAGTCTTTCTTAGCTATAGGCTAACATACTGGCTTTATTCAAAAGACCATTCTTACATGCTAATAAAAACATTTTGCACAATATTAGCATGTTAGCGTGACCATGTTGATGCTAACATCTTACAAGAATTGTTTGCCTTAGCATCTTGTTCTTATCCTGAAGGATTTTTGTTTCCCCTCAAAATACTGGATACATTACTATTTGTACCTGCTGATACAGTCAAAGTGTGTGGGTGTAGCTTTTTCTGTTTTTTATCCTTTAAACAAAGAACAAAAACAAAAGTCTGCTCTGTAAAACTGTTACTGCAAGTATTTTAATTTGCTTAAAATAGGAAGCTAGCATGTAAAATGTGGAAAACCTTGTCTTGCTGACATTAGCTTACCAAAACACAAAGTACAAATGAGGCTGTAGGACATTAGAATTGAAGTTTATTCATTATAAACTAAATTGGGAAATTCCCCGCTGACGTAGCTGGATAAAGGATTATTTACACATGTCAAGGAAATTCCATCTAATGGTTGAGTAGAAATGTAAAAGTCAGTTAAGAGAAAAATAAAAGTCAGTAGATCATCAAGTCGGTCAGATTATTTCTCGGGGGAACTTGAACGTCGGTACAGAATTTCATGGAAGTTCATCATGTAGCCGTTAAGACCTTTGAGTCTCTGCCAACAAACCAGCGGACTGACATAACTGTCTCAAGAGATTCAACAATTTCCTAGTTATCCTGTATGATCCACACAACACGCTGTCTCCAGTTTTCAGGACATTTTTCTGTTGGTTTATTGAGGGTGTGTTTCATCCTAAAGAAACTTGAAACCATAAACCTTTGAACCTTTCACCATTGTTCACAGTCACAAATTCTTAGATTGGAGTAAAACTGGACGGCCCTGTTGTAAAAAAAAAAGACCACTTTCCATGCCCCTCAGAACCCTAAGGCTCTTGGACATCTAGTTCCCATGCAGAGACACATGACATTAACAAGTGATTTATGGCCCGCAGGCGGTTTTATCTCTTTTATCTAAGTGTGGGGATTGAGGGTAACAATTAGTTCAGGCCTCTGAGTGGACAGAGATATCAGAGGGTGTAGCTTGGTCCGTCATCCTCAAAAACAAAATGTGAGGATGACAGAGGGAAACTTAATAAAGGGAAACCATGTTTGACACTGGATTCATACCGTCTTTAGTGATTAATTAGCCTTTTGAATTAAATGTGTGGCATTGTGAGTGAGAGTGTGGCATTTCTAGGCATTGGCTTCATTATAAACACAGCTCAAAGAGACAGTGGGAGACAGAGAGTCATCAGTCGTAAAAAAGTTACTTCTCTTCATTTCTGCAATACGTGGTGCCATGTCAAAGAGCATGGGAGCGAGAGAGTCAGTCTGACCCGGCAGGCAGAGCAGGACAGGCGAGGAGGGAGGCGGACATGGCAGGGGTTTTCCCAAGCCACACTATTGCCATGCTCTCACAAAACTGTACAAGTAAAATCAGAAAAGTATTGCCTAGTAAAGCCAGACCCCCCCGGCCTGTTCGATGGCCACGTCTGGCCCATGTATTTGAAACACAAGAACATCTTGCAAGGGATGCCTTGCATGTCTTATCTGATTCTTAAAGTTAATGAACTTCACTCTCTTTACTGCTCAGAAAAAATTCAGCTGACATTTACTGATATTTCTATTTTTTTAATTTAAACCTACACAATGATAATTGAAGCTCTGTCTAGTTCTTTTGTCTCGAAAAATGCCAACAGAAGGCTTTGACAAGTTTTTTTGTTAGTTTTGCATAGGTAAGGCAAGGCAGCTTTATTTATATAGCACATTTCATACACAAGTGTTCTACAGAGTAATGCAACATAATAAAGGCACAGATTTACAATTATAAAGCGAGTAAAAGATTTAAAATTCAAGTAAATTTATCAAAAAAGCCCCGTACATATTGTCATAAAAAATGTTTTAAATGTCATGACAAAAGCATGTTAGATGTATTGCATGGCAGTCTTCTTAAGATTAAGCAGAAAAGTTAAAATATAATAAATAAAAAATGAAAATATATATAGAAGGGAACAGTGTCCATTCTTGGATTTGTAACTTATTTTCTTTATTCAGAGCAGCAGTGAACCTATCATGATTTTGTGGGTGGCTTTCGAGGACAGGCTTTGTTTATGTGTTTTAGTTGGGGGTGACATTGGTGGGTTTCAGTCAGAGACCCTTTGTGTAGTTCCCTAATTTGCGGCTGTGGTGGAAATTCTCATTTGGGATTTAGAGTATACTAACACACACACACACACACACACACAC